CGGGCGACGTGCCGGGCAACGCTAGCCAGTAATAGTAGCCAGGCGAGTCCGGGTCCATTTCGAGAACACAACCCAGCCGTCAGCGGCCGTGACTCACGAGCCCGTGACCCCGTCACCCACAGCGCCGTCACGCGTCACGTGAAATCGTTGCCGGTTTTCCGCCTGTCTCGCGCCTTGCCGACCGACGGTCCGCCCTTCCGTCCAGGCGCCGGCCACGCCCTGGGGCTTCAGATCAGCCTCCAGGCTTGCGGGCGTCTAGGTGACCCGGTGCCGGCTTCGGAGTCTGTCTGTGGCCAGGCCTGCCGGTGGTCGGCCAGCGCTGCTCCTGTCACAGACCTGACGGACTGGCGTGTGACGCGGCCGACGGGCAAATCAATACTCTGTCAGCCGAACGAGGCCGGCCGGCGGTAACGAGGCGATTTTACACGGCGATTGGGGCCGCGGGACTGCTGGAGCAGTTCCGGCCCGCGCCTGGCGACACTGGGCCAACTAGTCGCGGTCCGGCGCGACACTGGCACGCTGCAGACACTCCTCTTGTGCGGCGACACTGTGCCAACTAGCCGCGGTCCGGCGTGACACTGGCACGCTGCAGACACTCCTCTGGCGTGGCGACACTGTGGTAACTAGCCGCAGTCCGGCGTGACACTGGCACAAGGCAGACACTCCCATCGTCTTGCGCTGAGGCGGAATCTTTTTAGGATGCTGAGGCGGAGCATTGCGTGTTAACCGGGTGCTAATTGTTGGCGCCAGATTGATCTGCGACGGTCGGTGGCGCCCAAGCTTTCTCGAGCGCCTGTCCGTTTCATGTTGGCATGGTTGAGAGCAGTTACTGAAGCGCGGCCTTCCAGCTCAGTGTCCATTCTATTCAGCTCCCGTCACGACATTCCGAAGTCTGTTCGATTCCGGGATTATGGCCCGTGCAGCTAGGTGTGTAGGTGCAGCCGCACCCCAAAAGCCGAGAATGCTGTTTGTGTTGCGCTGGTGCAGCTGCATCCTGAGAGCCGGCGTGTGTCTGCGGCGTGACTGAGCCAGCGCCAGGACCAGTGCCGGAGCCAGCGCGGCTCACTTGCGGTGGGATGCGGGTGTGATGAACATCTGAAGGCGGTCACCTGTCGTTGACTTCGGCGCCCTGAGAGGGTCAGGGTGGCTGCAGCTGAAATGGCAGAAGGCCTGCTTTACGAGTTTACTTGAAAGCCACACAGGTTCGTGTCCGGCTTCCCGCAGCATTTCTCCTGCATTTGGCGGCAACGCCTCCTTCCGCTGCCCCGCCTATTACAGTAGCGGGCCCAGGCGCGTCCGCAGCGTCCCAGCCAGCAGCGTGCCCCCGATCAGTGATCCAACGGAAGCGCGTCCGCGGCGTCCCACCAGCAGCGTGCCCCCGATCAGTGATCCAGCGGAAGCGCGTCCGCGGCGTCCCACCAGCAACGTGCCCCCGATCAGTGATCCAACGGAAGCGCGTGCGCGGCGCCCGACCAGCAGTGTGCCCCCGATCAGTGATCCAGCGGCGTCGTACCAGCAGCCTGCCCGCGATCAGTGATCCAGCGGCGTCGTACCAGCAGCCTGCCCCCGATCAGTGATCCAGCGGCGACCGCCAGCTGCGCTCTGTCGCGCCCGGCTGGAGGCGGCTGGTAGGCTTTCGCCGCGTGCCGTGCATGTTATAATCGGCCATATGCTTTACCGAATCCCACCCGCTCACCTACATTTCGGCTCGCAAAGTATGATTGAGTCCGACCAGCAGGGTTTGATGAATGTAGCGAGGCCCAGTTGACACAGGTAATGGTCTTCGCCTCCTGTTGGAGCACCGGCTGTGGAATGTGGGCGGTATGTGCCTGTACTGGTGCCTTGGTTTAGTGATAATTATTTATGTATTTGTGATGATGAGCTTTCACACATAATTTGGCTTCTAGTATTACGAACCCCTCGTTGTACATCATTTGACTTGTTACACGTCATGTGTGGAATTGAGTTGATCTTGTAACAATTTGCTCGCACCAGTTTATCGATTTGGAAAGAAGGACTGAATTACGAGGAGGAAATGTCGCTTTTATATCACACAAACACAATGCGCTTGTGAATACACCGATTCACCTGACATGACGCGTGAAGAGCGTCCGAGTTGTCTTAGAAGCAAATTGGCAGCTTGACGACAAAAACGTATATTGCCAGGCTCATAAACTGAATGGCACCGCTGACGCTGCCGGGTCTGCCCGTACACATCAGGGCCTGGAGAGGGCGGCCTTCTGCCCGTACACATCAGGGCCTGGAGAGGGCGACCTTCTGCCCGTACACACAGGGCCTGGAGAGGGCGGCCTTCTGCCCGTACACATCAGGGCCTGGAGAGGGCGACCTTCACGCGTCGCTTTTGTCACGGTTTTCCACCGCGTGACAGCTGTGCTATTGCAGGCGCATCTTATCGGATGTGTTTAAGTGCAGCGCATTGTTTTTATGCACGAGGTGGACATCGGCTGCAAACATTGGCAGTGCTGTGAACAATAAACACCACGCATGGGTTGGGTGAATCGGTGTTTGTGAACTCCGTGGGCTAATTTGACCGACTTGTTGGATGCTCGTCGAGGTGTTTACACTGGTGACCATCGTGGCGCGGGCATATTGAATATGCAACGGCCGGAATCAGGCAGGACTGTGTCACCTATGGAAACCAAAAGAAAAGCTTAGGTCGCTCTTATATGTAATCTGTTTAAGCAATCCGGTCTCCTATCCTAGCATTCAGGCTATACAAATCAAAAATGACGTTGATAAGTATCTTTTAAATTAGATTCGCGGAACTGTAATGACATGTTTAACAGCTCAATCAATTCCGTCAGACCAAGATTCGGCCTGATGGAACGTGTGGCTGGTTAATGTAGGACACGGAGAGCAGAACGGCGGCAGCGCCTCATTTCTTTCAACTTGCGCGCCGAAGACGTCCACCCTCAGCGGTCCTCCTCTCGGCTAAGCTGTCGGCTCCGCCGTGTCGCATCTCCCCATCTCGGCGGCCCTGTCTCAGATTCCCACTCCCCCCGCTCTCCGCGCGCGTGCCGCCCTCCCACGCACCCCGCCGGTCGGACGGGAGCTCGGAGCGCCGGCCGGCGGCCTCACCCCTGACCCGCCCGCCATCTGTCGACTGGAAAATCGTCCCGCTCCCGCCGCCGCGCCCGAGCCCGCTGTTTAAAACGTCGTTACGCCTTGGCGCCGTCTGGCGCGGACCGGTCGGCAGTTCGCCGCATGTGAATGCGGTGCCGCCCTCTGCCTGATTGTCCGGCTGTGCTGGGCGCGGGCCGCACTGACGTCACTGCGCTAGTAATGAAATCGAGCAACTGTCGCTGCATAATTTTACGGCACGCGTCACGAGCAGGCCGTCATCCCCGTGACCTGTCTGAAAGGTTGTCGACTTATATAGGGCCAATGGAATATTACGCTCTCGAAATGCGTGACATTGATCGACATTAGCCATGAATTTCATCACAAGAACTGGTTATGCCGAGAAGCCAGCGGCTTACGGACATTTTTTGTCCATATTTTGGCTCTTTAAGGCATGAGTTTATCTTAGTTCTGGTAACTTGGCTGCAAATAACAAAGCTAGATATGGTTTCGGAATAACAGCCATTGTATGGCCTGAAAATCTTTGTATATGTCATGAGGTATACGTCTTTACATTTGACACGCATTGTGGCGATCTCCCCAGCTCTCGTCAGCCGTTTTAATCAAGCTGGTCTCAAATGCCAGTCTTTCAGCTGTCCTGTTTTAGAAGAGACTAGCTTGGCAAGAAACCTAGGCTATTTTCAGACATCGTGCGCATGATGCACAATTTCTGATGATGTTTTTGGCGTCTATATCTAGTTGTTGGGATTATTATAGCAAAATATTTTTTGTTTGAATTAACGGGTTAAAGTGCCTTGATATTGAATATCGCAAACAGGGGTTATGACAGTGTGAACCGTGTGATTGGGCGGTGCTTCGGTCCCTGGACCTCGCCGCCGGATCCCGGCAAGCTTGATGGGGCGGTACTTCGGTCCCTGGACCTCGCCGCCGGATCCCGACAAGCGTGATGGAGCGGTGCTTCGGTCCCTGGATCTCGCGGCCGGATCCCGGCAATATTATCCCACGTGTGTTCACCACGAGGCGGCTGCGGGCTGGCCGTGGCCCACTCTCTCCTGGAGACACGCGGACGCCCTACCCAGTTCTTCTTCCCATGCGCCAGGGCTAAGTCCTGAGGCCAATTAGACCCACGCTGAACTGGCCATGCGAGTTTCTCCGTCTTTTTACAGCTGTAGACTAGACCTGCTTGGATGGTTTGAAGTTAGCGATTTTGTTGTCGACGAGCTTCGGTTTCAATGAACACGTCTTAGCTGTTCAGTTACAGTATGAGAGCACCGAACCTGATGTCTGTTTTGTTCGACGTCGAGTCATCTTCAAAGCCAAATGCAAAGGTCAGATGGGGGGGGGGGAGACTCCGTATCACCCCTTGAAGTGGCCGGCTGATTTTGGATTTTCAAGCGAAAAAAACCCTTTTCGGTCCATCGAAAAGTGTTCGTCGAAAAGTGCAGACCTCTCAAGGTCATGTTTTAAGATAAAATTCAAAGTCGAATAACAGGAAACTCCATAGCAATCAAAATATCATGAGGGAGCAGGATTTTCCCACCAAGGCTAGTTTATACGTTGAAGTTTCTTATGCTTACACATCCGAAATCGGACAACAGCGTTTGGATGACACTGTGCTCTTTGTCATTTGGGCTTTAATCTGAACCTAAAGGTCATGTGGTATTGAAAAGCAGACATCAGACTCGGTGTTTTTGTGGCATAGTTGAACGTATGAGGCTTGCCGTTTCACACCGGAGCCGGCCACTGAATAAACCGCTGATTTCACGAACGCCATGCCTGGTCGCACTGATGGATGGCTTTCTGGACGAGTGACCTGTACCGGCTGCTTTAACACTCCCGTTTGTAGTCAAAATGTCCATAAAAACTGCATCGTTACCCTGCACGTATTTTGCTTGCAGGTTCAACGCCGGAAAGATATACACGTATATCGGAGAAGTATGCGTCTCCGTCAACCCATACCGGACCATGAACATCTACGGCTCGGACGTCGTCAACCAGTACAAAGGTGAGCTTGCGTCCGCGCCAAGGTCTCCGTGAACCACGATTGAGGCGGACCACAGGAGAGTCGTGGGAAGCAGCTTGAGACTCGCGTGATGGCCGCCAGATAGTCGAGAGGGACGCACGGAGGGTCGCATCGTGACTGTCGAGAGGTCCCGAGCCGTGATAGCACCAGATGTGCCAGATTTGGTAGCTAGACGTTATCGTGAACGAGACGAACTTGACGACGGCAATGCGCGGCATGCATGGAAAGGCTTCAGAGAACGAGCGTGATAGCATAAGCCAACTATGGGGGAGTCACGCGAGATCCTAACGGGCCCGGGAGACAGTTTAATCTGACGTGACGCGCCCAGCGCCGACGCGCTTCTCAAATGACGCGTGGCGCGTCACCGCGCGCGCTCCGTTCGAGTGCGCGCGCAACGTCGGTGAAAAAAGATCAGTTAGAGCTTCTGCGAGGCGTGTAAGTCGACGCAGCGGCCGAAATATGCGGCATAATCGCAGCCGCGCCGTTTTTGCCGGCACTGCGCCGTTCTTGCCGCGGCGCCTCGAGGTTTTTGCACCGCCCTGTAATCGGCTCGCTCGGCGGAGACTGGTGTTCCGTTACGGTGGTGCGGCCGTGCGCTCGTGACGTGACACGACGGGTGGTTGCGTGCGGCGCGTGACGAGAGAAGGGAGGTGCGGGCGAGACATGTGAATGGAGTTTTTGTTTGAGACGTCCTGTTCAGAATGAGATGCTCAGCTGCCTCTTAGCTGTGACAGTTCTTGATTAAAAGGGGACTCGGTCTGCGATGTCTACACAGCGCCAACACAGTACACGTCTTTTCGGGTACTTGACCAACGCTTTTGTCTGGAACTATATTCTGCTTTACAAAACTCCAGCATTTCAATGTCTGTAGCAATCCGTACAGCAAAAGGCGTCATGAATGGGTGACAGCAGGGCTTTCGCGGAGTTGGAGAACAGGAACGAAGTTGGGTCCAGTTTTCATACAATGCCATAGATTTTGTTACATTTTCCAACGGTGTGTGTGTGTGTGGGGGGGGGGGGGGGGGGCGGCTGTTCCCTCTCTGTTGTTTCGTGTCTCTGACGTGGACAGAGCATTGAATCGCTTGCGCGGACGACTGGCTGGTCTGCGAGAGCCCTCTGAGGCAATGGCTAACGAGATCCTCCGGGCAGCAGACTCCCGCAACGCCAGCGCACTGGGAGAGGTGACGTCTGCCGCTCGCACAGAGAGCGGGCGTCTATCGATCACTCGGAGGTGACGTCTAGCCGCTCACACAGAGCGCTGGCGTCTGTCGCTCACTCGGAGGTGACAGTCTGCCGCTCACACAGAGGCGCTGGCGTCTGTCGCTCACTCGGAGGTGACGTCTGTCGCTCACACAGGAGCGCTGGCGTCTGTCGCTCACTCGGAGGTGACGTCTGCCGCTCACACAGAGAGCGGGCGTCTGTCGCTCACTCGGAGGTGACGTCTGCCGCTCACACAGAGAGCTGGCGTCTGTCGCTCACTCGGAGGTGACGTATGCCGCTCACACAGAGAGCGGGCGTCTGTCGCTCACTCGGAGGTGACGTCTGCTGTTCACACAGAGAGCTGGCGTCTGTCGCTCACTCGGAGGTGACGTCTGCCGCTCACACAGAGAGCTGGCGTCTGTCGCTCACTCGGAGGTGACGTCTGCCGCTCACACAGAGCGCTGGCGTTTGTCGCTCACTCGGAGGTGACGTCTGCCGCTCACACAGAGCGCTGGCGTTTGTCGCTCACTCGGAGGTGACGTCTGCCAGGGGGCTGCGGACGTGCCACACTCCTGATCGCTGTTTGGGGCAGCTCCTAGCGCTATCATTGGGCCGAAGATCCGCTGGCGTCACTCGCCGCCTGATGTGGCTCCTGACTCCCCCCCCCCCCCCCTCAGATCGATTAATTCTTCTGCCTGTCTGCAGCCTGAGTTTACTCCCACACTACCCGCAGGTCGAGAGATCTTCGAGAGCCGTGCCGGAGATCGTGAGGTTTCACTGCCTGTTTGCAGCCTGAGTTTACTCGAGAGATTCCACTGCCTGTCTGCAGCCTGAGTTTACTCCCACACCACCGGCAGGTCGAGAGATCGTTGAGCGCGGTGCGGAGATCGAGAGATTCCTCTGCCTGTCTGCAGCCTGAGTATACTCCCTCACCGCCGGCAGGTCGAGAGATATTTGAGCGCGGTGTGGAGATCGAGTGATTCCACTGCCTGTCTGCAGCCTGAGTATACTCCCGCACCACCGGCAGGTCGAGAGATCTTCGAGCGCCCGCCGCACATCTTCGCCATCGCCGACGCCGCCTACAAGGCGATGAAGCGGCGAGGCCAGGACACCTGCATCGTCATCAGCGGCGAGAGCGGCAGCGGCAAGACGGAGGCGTCCAAGATCATCATGCGCTACATCGCGGCCGTCACCAACGTCAGCCAGCAGGCCGAGATTGACAGGTGTGGCGGCCGGAACGGACGTTGGGAAGGGGGGGGGGAGGGCGTGGCCCGGCTGTCCGGACACACCTCGGGCGTGGCTGATCGACGCGGGGGGCCTAATGCCAAGGAATGAAAAACCAGGGTTGTCTCGGGCCCGGTGGTAGTCGTTCAGCTGTCTAGCTACCTGGTGGAACAACAGGCTTAAGGCATGCATCTTCGTGTACATGCTTTAGGTTCCGGGGGAAACAACAGGTGTAAAGCGAGGGTGCTATCATACCTTGTGCTGTTTTTTAATTTATTGTCCACTCAGAAAAGAATGAAGTTTTGTAAGAGAATCTCTGTGCCGACTCATCGTTAGTGGTCGTTTTGTCCTGTGATTTACAGGGTCAAAAGTGTGCTCATCCAGTCCAATTCGATTCTGGAGGCGTTTGGAAACGCCAAGACAAACAGAAATGACAACTCGTCACGCTTCGGAAAGTACATGGACATCAACTTTGACTTCAAGCACGACCCGGTGGGCGGCCACATTTCCAACTACCTGCTGGAGAAGTCGAGAGTAGTGCTGCAGCAGCCCGGCGAGAGGAATTTCCACGCATTCTACCAGGTACGTCATGCGCTCGACACTACGGAGTTTGGAGAGGTGGCGGTGACCTCTTCTGTCGGAGTGAGGACGAGTGCGAGCAGTCAGGTGTTGTCCACATGCCTGTGCCGCCATTCTGCGCGTGCCGTCGTCATGCGGGCCAAGCCATAAGTTCCGAAGCTGGGCTTTGTCCCTGAATAACTGTAACGGTATGTACCACGGTAACGGTATGTAACGGTATGTGCCACGTCCACTGTTCCTCGTCGTGCAAACCTTTTTTCGTCGAGTTTCAACGCGTCATCAGTTCTGAGTGTTGGGCACCGTCGCCTTCCCTCACGCGCCCCGCTCGCGCCGCTTCAGCTGCTGTACGGGGCACCGGACGCCGAGCTGACCAAGCTGAAGCTGGTGAGGGACGCGGCGCAGTACTACTACACGCGCCAGGGGGGCAACACGCGAGTTGACTCCATCAGCGACAGGCAGGACTACAAATCAGTCAACAGCGCTCTCCGGCTGCTCGGATTCGGTGCCGAGAAGACCGAGTGCATCTGGAAGATCATCGCAGCCGTTCTAAACCTGGTAGGGTTCGGAAGGAGCAGCTGTAGAGACTGAAGGCCGGGATGGGGGGGGGGGGGGGGCGATCGGTTAGGTCCCGAGACTGGAAGGAGTAACGTAAAAGGATTCGGGGGGGGGGGGGCGTAAGCCAAGAGGTTGAGGATGTGAAGTGTGTGGTTCGGGGTGTGGACGGTGTGAGCAACCTTTAAGATGAAAGAGGGGCTTATATCGAACGCGAGCAGCCTTTGTTGGTTGTTTTAGATATATGCTGCGGCTTTCTCCGTGCAAAGCTTCCGTCATACATAATTCATTGGGCTTTCATTGTGTTTCGTTGTTCCTAAGCCGGGCCAGCGTCTTGTGTGTTCTTTCGTTCCGCCCGTCGTTGTTGAATTACGACGTGTGTGGGTGGGTGTGGATGTGGGTGTGCGGGTGTGTGTGCGTGCGCGTGTACGTGCGCGTGTGTCCTGCGTCGCCCTCTGTTAGAGGATTGGCGTGGTTTTCCGTCAAGGTCGTGTGAATGACACTTGTTATTCGAGTACGTTTGTTATCGGTGTCTGATATCGTGTCAGCACGCCGCGCATTTCCCAGAAGCTGGATAGCGCCGACATGCGCTTGTTTGATAGCTGTTTGGCCTGCTTGGCGGCGGTGAGCGGTTCCCCGTCAGCTAAGGGCCTCCGACTCATTCGCTTACAGGTTCCCCTTAAACGTGTACATGCAACGTCACGGGAGCGAGTTTTATGCGAGAACGTTATACGAGAACAAATAGCCTGCTTGCATCTGCACATCCCCAACTTAGGTCATCTTACACTCGGGGCCAGAAGCAATAGGTGCTTGCCCTTGCTCCGGCTTCCCGCCCCACACTCCCCGGTCGCAGTCTGCCACTCCCCGGCGTTGAGTGTCTGTCCGTTGCCAGGGTAACGTCGTGTCTGCCACTCCCCTGCGTTGAGTGTCTGTCCGTTGCCAGGGTAACGTCGAGTCTGCCACTCCCCTGCGTCGAGTCTGCCCGTTGCCAGGGTAACTTCGAGTCTGCCGCTGCCCTGCGTTGAGTGTCTGTCCGTTGCCAGGGTAACGTCGAGTTTGACGACAACGCCGACGCGACCAGCGTGAAGACGCCGGAGCGGCTGCAGGCAGTGGGCGCGCTGCTCTCTGTAACGCCCGCCGAGCTGGGCAAGACCCTGTGTCAGCGTGTGATCGCCGCCGGCGGCGAGGTCATGGAGAAGGGCCACACCGGCGTGCAGGCCACCTACGGCCGAGACGCCTTCGCTAAGGTGGGCCTGGCGCGGCAGCCCGCTGGGAAGCTTACCGCCCCGGATCAGCACGGATCCGACGTTTTGTGCCGAGTTGTCCGCGAGCGAGTCGTGGAGTGATTCGGGCGTTATTCGAAACGCTGAGGCCTCTGACTTCTGTCCGTCATGTGCGCACCGCCCGATGCCGTTTTAAGTGTTGGAAACGCAACGCAAACGCTACACGCCATTGAGGAGCACACAACACGCGAAACGCAAGCACGCTGTTGAGGAGCACTGGAATGCTATTTTGTACCAATCATTATCCTCCCGTTCCGTGAGTTCAAAGTATACCGCAGCTGTTGTAGTGTCAGAGCGTCACGTTCCCTATTGCCGGCAAACGCGTGCCTGTTGTCAGTTGCGTAGATCCGCAGCCCGCTGCACCAACCCTGAGTCACGTGGCGCTGCCTCAGTCCGCGTCACGACGCGGCGGCAGCGGCTCCAGGTGCGGTGACAGCGCCGGCGCCGGCCACTGCTCCAGTGCGCCGGCTGGGGGAGTCTGCGCCGACCGCTAGTCACGTGGGAGTTGCCGAGTCACGTGTATGGTGCTGACGTCATCCGGGCTCTCGTGCTCAGCCAGCCCGTGCGTAATCTGTTCATACTGCAGCGTGCTGAAATGCTGCCAAGCAGTCTACGGGGCCGAATGGTCTGTGTTCCACTGCTGTCGTAGGAAGCGGTTCAGGACGTGTGCTACATGGGTCTATAAATTGCTTCCCATTGTCGTCGGCAGGCGATCTACGAGCGCCTCTTCACATGGATCATTCAGGAGGTGAACACGGCCATAGAGGTGAAGGAGGAGAGCAAGCGGTACCGCACCAAGAACACCGTCATTGGCGTTCTTGACATCTACGGTTTCGAGATATTCAACAACAACAGCTTTGAACAGTTCTGCATCAACTACTGCAACGAGAAGCTGCAGCAGCTGTTCATCGGTATGGTTGTGGTTGTGCTGTCCACAAAAAAACGTGAGATCTAAAACGCCACTCGGGCTTAAGTCGTCTGGTGCACTGACTATTATTGGTAAAAATAATAGCATCGTGAAGTGCGAGAATGGCAGCGTTCATTTTGCTCAATCAGCAGTATGCACTTGTTGAACATGTAAGGGTCACGCACCTTACAGGACTACCCTCCGAACGCGGCGGTCGGGAACCGCCGTTGTTCAGCCGGCGCTACGGACGATGACCTTGGGGCTGTCAGTGGGATCTCGCAAAAGAGGGGTTCCATGAGTTCCCAAACCCGCGGCATGCGCCCCTACCCGGTGAATGGCACCTTAGCACGAACGTGCCTGTGTTGCAGCTCCGATTCAGAGCGGTGCAGGATATTGGCCGACGCGCGATAGTCTATTGGTCTTGGGGGCACAACAAATGGGCTGACTTTTCCCCCCTTCCCCCCGCCTTCCCCCACCAGGGCATGTCTTAAAGCTAGCAAGCAAAAAGAAAGAAATACACAACTGGAGAAGCATTTTCCTCCTCCTCCTCCTCCTCCCCCCCCCCCCCCCCCCCGTGAACACATGCAAGATATGACCTGCAAACATCGATGTCTCTACGACTGAAAACAGCGCTACGAAATGCATCAAAGTAGTATTGCTGAAAGCAGCAACATGCTTGTGCACCATTTGCATCATTGTGCACAATCTGTCGGCCAGTGTCCTCCATGGTCCGCTGCCAAGAAAAACTAAAACAAACGCAAGCTGAAAAGATGTTCATGAAAACAGGCAAAGGTGCTTTGGTTAACTAAATGTCAGCATTTGCTTGAAGTTTGGGAAAAAGGTTTGCTCTCATGATTCTTGGGCAGGTCATTTATTCATTTACCTCCCCCCCCCCCCTTTTCCCGGATCCACCCCTGATGAAGCGTGACAGGATGTTGTATGTTTACTTCTTGACAGTCATGCAAGTACAGCTCCATGGGAAATATATCCGCTGATAATTACAATTTCAAGGGTGCAAGATGCGCCCATGCGCCCCGCTGGCTGTGGCACTGGAAGTCAGGTCGTGGGACTGCGGGAGGTTGCTGTTGCTGACCGTGGTGAAAGTGCTGACACTGCTCATTGGTGTTGCTATTGATGCTGACGCTCACCATGTATCCGCAGAGCTGGTGCTGCGACAGGAGCAGGAAGAATACCGGAAGGAGGGCATCGAGTGGACCAACATCGAGTACTTCAACAACCAGGTGGGCCCCGGCTGGCTGGGGCGCTGCGCTTGGACAGGGTGACCCACGACCCCTCAACCTCCCGTGCAGGGGACTCAATTAGATTCCACAAGTGTACTCTGAGACGAAACGCCACTCTCAGTTGCTGGAACGGATCATTAAGGATGACCGCATATTCTGATTGCTTATTTCGATAAAATCTTCGGTTTTTCATCTGGTTTCCTTCAGAAATCCCACTGGCTCGTCTCGCACCGAAGATCATTGTAGGCGTGGCCCGCACTGCTTTACGGGCCTGTCATGTCCTCGGAGATCATTGTAGGCGTGGCGCCGCACTGTTTTGTCGGCCTGTCATGTCCTCGGAGATCACTGTAGGCGTGGTGCCGCACTGTTTTGCGGCTGTCATGTCCTCGGACATACCGTCAGGCTGGGTCTCCACTAGCTCAGACGTGTTGCGTGCTGTTGACTGACGCCTGTTGGCCTGACGCCGCAGATCATCTGCGACCTGGTGGAGCAGCCGCACAAGGGCATGATCGCCATCATGGACGAGGCTTGCCTGAACGTGGGCCGCATCACCGACCAGATGCTGCTGGAGGCCATGGACAAAAAGCTGGCCAACCACCAGCACTACAGCAGCCGCCGACTCAACCCCATGGACAAGGAGCTGAAGCATGGCGAGGAGTTCCGCATCAGGTGAGCAGACGTGCACTCTGGAACGCACTTCGGAACTCCGGGGGCATGCGGAACTCTGTGGCGATGGCGGTTGGTGTGGTTTGTGTGGCTGTGGCAGTTTGAACTTTGGATCACTTGCGACGCATGCGGCGAACGCTAGACGCTCGTCACAAGTAAGCGGCGGGCCTTAGACTGCAGACCAAGATTGTTTTATCGTCAAAAAAAACGGGAGGTTTGGTAGCTGTAACGACAAGGCTCGACTGGTTCGCTACTGACGAGACTACATCTTTATAACCACCGGTGGCAGTGCCAGGTATATCTCAGGAATAAGTAAGGCAGTCGTGTAACAGCTAAAGTGGATGCTAGTTCCTGTCTTCGGCTACCCGGCATTGCAGCGTGTGAGACCACTGCTATCACTAAACAGACTCAACGCAAGGTTCGGAATTCTACTATCAAAGAAGGTGCCGGCAATGAACGGGCGCTGCCTGTACTTGTCAGAGCTTCAACACCCTCCCACAGACCAGCTAGACTTACCTGCGGGGCGTAAAGGGTCTGACCGGCCCCGCCCTGGCCGTCCTGCCGCAGGCACTACGCCGGCGACGTGAGCTACAACGTCACCGGCTTCCTGGACAAGAACAAGGACATGCTGTACCAGGACTTCAAGCGGCTGCTGTACTCGTCGCAGAATGAGACGCTGAAGTCGATGTGGCCGGAGGGGGCGCAGCACATCAGCAAGGTGTGTCAAATGACGTCACGGATCATTGACACGCGTGGAGCCATGTTGCGACGCCTCAACCGTGAGGCCCCGGCTCTTTACAGCCCTCTCTGTGGAATGATTATCAAACAGGTCGAACTTGATCACTGAATTGGTGTCTCCGACCATTTTCAATTACCACCAGCGATCGGCAATTTGTGTTTTCGTAGATGGATGTGATGCTGACTGATTACTGCTGGGTTCTGCTGCTGTCAACTGCTTACTGGCTGGAAGTAAGCAGGCCTGGCACCATGCCAAGTGACAGCATCGGACAACGTTTCAATCCGCGTCATCCGTTCCAGACGACCAAGCGGCCGCTGACTGCCGGCACCCTCTTCAAAAACTCGATGATTTCGCTCATCACCAACCTCGCCAGCAAGCAGCCGCACTACGTGCGCTGCATCAAGCCCAACGAGGAGAAGTCGCCGGTGCTGTTCGACAGGGAGAGGGTGCGCCACCAGGTCAGTTTGCCGGGGCAGCCACGACAGGCGGGGGGTGCGCCACCAGGTCAGTTTGCCGGGGCAGCCACGACAGGAGGGAGGGTGCGCCACCAGGTCAGTTTGCCGGGGCAGCCACGACAGGAGGGAGGGTGCGCCACCAGGTCAGTTTGCCGGGGCAGCCACGACAGGAGGGAGGGTGCGCCACCAGGTCAGTTTGCCGGGGCAGCCACGACAGGAGGGAGGGTGCGCCACCAGGTCAGTTTGCCGGGGCAGCCACGACAGGAGGGAGGGTGCGCCACCAGGTCAGTTTGCCGGGGCAGCCACGACAGGAGGGAGGATGCACCATCAGGTCAGGTTGCCGAGGGAGCCAGAGTCATGCTGGCGTGACGGAGCGCCCGGCACATTGGAGGTCGGCACAGCGGTTGAGGGTATGTCGTCGGACCACATATGCTGGGCGATTCCGCACCGGTGCATAATAGGTAATAGCTGATGCTTTTATTCTCACGGTACTCGAGTGCGTCAAAATTTTCGGTTCTTGGCTCTCAACACCGTGTGTGTTTTGCTCTGCTGGTCCGTGCCGATTTCAACTCCGGTTGGTGTTTCAGGTGAACTACCTGGGCCTGATTGAGAACGTCCGCGTCAGGAGAGCCGGCTTCGCCTACCGCCAGAGCTACGACAGGTTCCTCAGGAGGTACGCACTGCTCACTGAAGGATCACACGCTGTGCAAAGGCTGTTTGCTGTCAGATTGGTACTCATCAGTCGCACGTGTGTTTGTGAGTGTGTTTTTGTGTTTGTCGACGAGGGTTGATGTTGAGCGAGGTCGTTGTGTCCAGGTACAAGATGATCTCTCAGTTCACCTGGCCTAACTTCCACGGCGATTCGGACAAGGAGGGAGTCAAGATCCTCATCAAGGAGCAGAACTTCGTCGACGACGTCAAGTACGGCAAGACCAAGATCTTCCTGCGCTCGCCGCAGACGCTGTTTGCCCTGGAGCAGGTCAGATGTCTGCTGTTACAGTGTGCAGCCGCAGAGATGGATAACTAACGAGATGCCGCTAGGTATGACGCCATCGGGGTAACTCATACGGAACAGTTCCGAGCAACAAATCAGTGTTTACCGTTATGTAGCTTCATTTAAGTTATTCATTCAATAAAGCGGCATTTAATTTAGTCTCATCATAAAATTTTGTATACGTAATCCCTTAACTTCAACCCAATGTGAGCAGGTCATATACATAGCAAACGCAATAAGCAGTATATTTGAAATGATAAAGTAAGTCTCCCTGCATCGCTGAAGCGTCCGATGTCAGTCATGATGTGCTTCCATCAGGATGTGATGTCGAATCACTCGGACATCACCGGTGCAAATTATATTTAACGCCTTTGTTCGGCAACCCATCCGTATTTTGGCCCGACCCTGTGTATTTCAGAGAACTCTTGACTGGCTCATGCCTCGGGCACGGGGCCGGAGGCCAGTCAGTGGGCGCTGCTAATCGGACGTCTTTTTTCACCAGAAATCGCTTTCCTTTCTCAGGCCCGTGGCCGGCTGATCCCGCACATAGTGATCTTCCTGCAGAAGATGTGGCGTGGCGCGCTGTGCAGAATGCGCTACAGGAAAATGATGGCGGCGCGCACCATCCTTCACGCCTTCCGACGCTACAAGATGCGTGACTACATCACACAGCTCAACACGCTCTTCAGGTAACACGCGGCGGCGGCACTTACCGGCGTTCGGCCGATGAAACGGTGTTTTATCGGTATTTTCGCCAGCCAGCTCGCCTTTAACTGAATGACTTACACCTTCGATATTGCGCTTGAAGAGCTCAACGATTGTCTACGGTGTCGTTTTTCAGTGACCCATGTTTTGATCGCTCAAAATATCCGGCAGCATGGGATCAGCTCGAGCCGCAGTGCGCTGCCGAACTTTGCCTCTCAGACACGGATGGTTATCGGCAGCATGGCGCGGCTTCCTTGCTGTACGCACTCGCGCTGGGATTCCCGGCAGTCCATCTCGCTTACCTGTATCTGTGTGTCGTCCGCTGCCCACGCCATCACTATTGGTGTCATCCATTGGCGACGCGTACTTGTCCGTGATCCCAGACGCTGGCCATGTGAGGTAGCGCGCTGTGCACCGGGGCTGGCGGCTCGCCCGCCTCGGCCGCCTGTGACCTGATCTGACCCACCCGCCCCGCCGACCTGGCCGCCTCGCCCGTCCGTGACCTGATCCCCCGTCGTGACCTAGCCCCTCCCGTGACCTGAACCCCGTCGTGACCTCATCCCCGCCCATGACCTGGCCTGCCTGTGTCCTGACCCGCCCCATACCTGACCCGCCCGTGACCTGAGCCTGCCCGTGCCGTGAACCCGCCCGTGACCTAAGCCTGCCCGTGCCGTGAACCGCCCGTGACCTGAACCCGCCCGTGACCTGAGCCTGCCCGTGACCTGAGCCTGCCCGTGACCTGGACCCGCCCGTGACCTGAGCCTGCCCGTGACCTGACCCGCCCGTGACCTAAGCCTGCCCGTGACCTGAGCCTGCCCGTGACCTAAGCCTGCCCGTGACCTGGACCCGCCCGTGACCTGGACCCGCCCGTGACCTGAGCCTGCCCGTGACCTGACCCGCCCTGACCTCGCCTGTGACCTGAGCCTGCCCGCGCCGTGAACCCGCCCCGTGACCTGACCCCGCCGGCGCAGGAACGTGAAGCGCTCGTCCGACTTCGGCCGCTCGGTGCGCTGGCCGCCGGCGCCGCTGGTGTGTCGCGGCGCCGTCGGCTCGCTGCGGGCTATCCACCGGCGCTGGTGGGCCCTGATGGTGCTCAGCCGGATACCAGCCGACGAGCGGCCTCAGATGCGGCTCAAGGTGGGCACTGGCGCGCAGACGGCTCGCGACGGGCCCGCGCCGCCCTCCCGCCGCGGCGCCGGAGTAAGGGCAGGGCTCTGCCGCGGCGGAGGAGGCTCAGAGCGCCAGGCTGTGAGCGGGGTGGTGGGGAGGCCCCACTGAACGCGAGAGGTCACGCTTCAGAATGCGAGGGTCCCAGTCCAGATTAAAAAAGGCTTGGCGGCGACTGCTATGGTGATTACCTTTCGGGCTTACCTATCTCACCTCTGCGTGGTCTGATGACCATTTCATCATGGTACGTCGTCCATGCGTTGTGTTTTCCGTCCTGTGGTCATACCGCCCTTGCCACTGCTGGTAACCCACATCACCTCATGCCAGCCTCACTGAAGGCTTTTGTTCGGACGCCGCGGCCTCTGCTGCCGCCGGCCGCGTGGGTGCACTGCTCCGCGGCCCGTTGTGACCCCACTGACCTGGTGACCGGCGGCAGGTGACGACAGCAGACGCGCTGCAGGGTCGTCTGCCCGAGTGGGGCGCCGGCCGTCGCCGGGTGCACTGCTCCGCGGCCCCTAGTGACCCCACCTGACCTTGTGTGCGGCGGCAGGTGACGACGGCAGACGCTCTGCAGGGCCGTCGGCCCGAGTGGGGCGCCGGCCGCCGCCGGGTGCACTGCTCCGCGGCCCCTAGTGACCCCACTGATCTTGCGTGCGGCGGCAGGTGACGACGGCAGACGCTCTGCAGGGCCGTCGGCCCGAGTGGGGCGCCGGCCGCCGCTGGGAGGGCAACTACCTGGCCTCGGTCCAGGAGAACGCCAACACGGCGGGCTACGTGCAGACCGTCTCCCATCTGCGCTCCAAGGACAAGTTCCAGAAGGTCCGTGCGGGGCAGCACTGCCTCGAAATTGGTCTGGCCACCGCGAATGTAATGCAAAGCTCCGATAAATGGATCTAGTTTATCAAGCAAGTCACGTTATTTCATTTTTTCAGAAGTGACATATTTTTGCTCCAATGAGCAGTTTCCAGTCAGAACAATTCACGAACACTTATTTCCACCTTTACTCTAGCTTTTGTTATTTAAGTCTCTAATCGAACTCCGGATTGAGTAATTCTTAGCAGGAAATTGCTCAATTAGATATGCACAATATGACCTTACGCCAATACATTCATGTCTGGCGAGTGTGTTGAACTTGGACTTTGCAATAGGGCATTTGGATATGAGTAATCAAAGTTATGCAGTATATCTTGGTTCCAGGAAGACCGTCAATCACGTTTCGCACAAAATGGTTTTAATTTTAGTTAATCCTCGTGGTGCCTCTGGTGGTCTAAAAAAATGAACAGAAAGGTGTTTTTGGGGTCACTTGAAAATATACGATCAAAGTGTGTAAAGTCTTCCCGGTATGATGTCATTAGTGAGGTCCTGTATGGCTCGGTTTGTGGAGCAGTATGATATATCGTATTTGTAAATAATATCGGAAATGAGTCGGACAGCAGGGCTTTTTATTTTTATTGGCGGATGTTTTGAAAGTGTTCTGAGCAAGTAGAAGCAAAATGGGCCGTGACTACTGCAAGCTGGTTCCCACAAGCTTGCGTTAGTGCTAAACATGTCAAATGAATTACAACTTTGAGGGGTGGAATCCTGCAGGGGTGTAGAGAGTATATTAGGGGGAAATGCATCATGGGTGATCAAGAACTGGCTGTGATAGAAAAAAGTTCCAGGTGTTGTTTACTGTAAGCTGAGTGGTATGCGTCTTCGTTTCCCACATGGAAAACCCGAGTTCGTACTCGGATTGCGCTCCATGCCCCCGGGGCGCCCTCGTCGCAAGGTCATAAAAGGCCGTCGCAATCGCTGACGCTCCATTGAATGGGTGGACGACGACGCTCATCATGCTCCCTTGTTAAACTAACACCATCAGAGCGTTCTGCGGAGACGAGGAAAAGCACTTATCACTCTCCGGGCGTGTGATAGGAATGCGACTTACAAAAGCTAGTAGTCAGTAGGAACTTATGTCGTGGATGCGTCAAACGACATTTGGAGTACGGCATCCTGACTTGAGGTTTAAGTTATGGAAATAATTTTTGGATTTGGTACGGTGCAAAAAGTTCGACGTAAGTACTCGGTTGTTTTAGAAGTTCGTATTATGAACAGATATTAAAGAAATTGAATATATCTTCTCTAAAATATAGACGGCTGGGGAACTCATCGAGGGATGTCTGGGCATTAACCACAAATATACTTAACCATAGCAGGACCAGGTTACAGCATGTTTGTTCAGCTTCAGGTTAGTAGTTCACTGGAACAAACTGCTTGATGAAATCGGCAATATTAGCTCTTAGGGTGTGTGAATATTTTTTGCAGACAAATACTTAACATAAAAAGGGTTGCTTAGAGATGCAATTGGCACTTCTTTCCCCTGTTAGGGGCTTTAAGTTATGAGCGGCCTGCGGAAAGCAAAGAAGGCGTGCATTGCGTTCAGAATCTGAGCGTTTGTGAATGAAACATAGTTTAGCTATTTATGTGTTATGTTGAAGGACAATATCTGTTATACGGAGCTGGAATGGGGCAATCTGTAGGGTACTCTGTGGCTCATTGTTCACTCATGCTTTCTGTCTGTGTTGATCAGGTCCGTCTTCGGCTATAACTCTATAGATTATGACGCTTTCGTAATAAAGAGAATACATAAATAAGGAGCTAGGTGCCACCACATGGTTGGTATTCACGTCTGAGAGGGCAAGACTTTGCGGATTTTTTAACGTAGAAATTTGTGACAAAGATCGAGGTACCATATAAATCAGGACGCCACGCGGGACCTTCCTACGCACCTAGCTCTAGTATCTTCGGTAGGATCTTTGGGAAGCGCAACTGAGACTTCAGGATACCGATACTGTCAGAATGCCGGATCCCCGTTGATCCGTACTGCACGTCATACTAATTATCATTGTTTCATCTGTTTTGTCTGACTGAAGACGCTGCAGTAACATTTTCTGCTGGGAAACGAGCTGGATAGATTTTCCATGGCCCATCGGCCTTGTACCCCAGGCTTTACGACGGTTTTGCTGTCGCATGGGTCTCCATTAATGGCATGTTTAACGAGTTTGTACAGGCAGGTAAATGGTAGGAGGTATCAGGTACCTGATACCTGGGGCTTAGGCGGCGTACTGGACGGGCGGCCCCTTTTGACCATTTTGTCTTCCCTGACTTATGCTGCTGGGTTGTTAGTCGCGCTCAAGGATCGCGCTTACAGCGCTGGACATTTTGTCCCGACTCATGGCTGTGCGTTTTTGGTCGGATATTCATAACGCAAAGCCACTGTGGATGCCACCAGTGATATCAAGGATGCATGGTTAACTAACAACAAATGTCATTCGTTGTCACTTAATGCCATTGCATGGCTGTCATTGTCATGAAGGTCATTAAGATGGCATTCGTCGACTACACCGTGTCGCTGATGGCGCGGAAATGGATTTTCGATGCATAACACACAAACCGTAAGGCTGTTGTCAAATGTCCGATGTTACACCCTCACGGATTATGTAAAGGTTTCTGGCATTGCGAATGCGTGCTAAATGTTCCGGTCTCTCCCACAGATCATGTTCTCCGGCCTGGTGCGGAAATTCAACCGCAACAACAAAATGGCGGAGCGAGCCATCATCGTCACAGACACCAGCATCTACAAGCTGGACAGCAACAAGTTCAAGTGCCTCACTTCACACGCAATCGCCGACGTGAGCAAGCCTCTTGCAACTTGACTTAGGGATTGGTAGACTGGCTCGTGTCACCAAAGCCTTTCATGCAAATCTTGATACATAAATGATCACCATCCAGTAATCAGATGTGCTCTAAAACTGTGATTTCGGCCTTTAATTTAAAAGGTAGGTTCCGGTCCGCGCCATGGAACTCTGCGGCAGGTGAGCCCTTGAGTGGTGGCCTCTGATGTGCTAAAGCGACGCTGGCGTGAACTGGTCTCACGTCTACTGAAGATCGGATCACAGGTGTTTTACGGTGCTCAGACCGACAATCAGTGAGATGGGGCACGTGGTAGCCCAGTTCGTGTCCATGCGTGTTGAGTCCCTGTGTTCCATAAGGTGTGTGACACTGAGCCGTAACAGCTTGTTTTGTGTTTAGCTATAAGAATCTGTAGGTGGCTGAAATCGGTTTGTTGCCTGGTTGAAGCCATGAAGAGGCTTAACTGCTTCCGACCAGCGACTTCATACCCGTTTAAATTCGGCGCTGCCTGAGATACGCCAATCATGCCTCTGGTGGCAAGATCTGGCGAATGACGTTCCGTATCTGGCCGCCAGGTGACAGGTGTGAGCGTGTCTCCGCGCTCCGACCAGCTGGTGGTGCTGCACCTGCGCGGCGGCAATGACCTGGTGGTGGCCCTGCTCTCAAACAAGGCCGAGGACCGTGTGGGCGAGCTGGTGGGCGTGGTCTGCCGGCAATACAGCGCGTGAGTTTGCCCGCGGAGCTGGTGCGGCTACCACCGAACTGGCCTCGTGGTTATTGCGGAACTTCAGAAAACAAACAGCTCTAGCAATCGCGTGTGCCATGCGTGGGGTTAAGTTATCGGCAGCTCCGGCTTTGCGCCTGCATACATGCTAAAGGAGCTTCCCGCGCACGTGGTTGGTTCAGACAACATAGGTCACCGGGGTAACCACAGTCCGGCGGCACCACTAACCTTACCACCGCACCACCTTAGGCTCTCCTTCAGCCCAAAGCCCTGAAATGGCCATTGCTAACCGAAATGGCTCTTGTCCCAACAAGAACCAAAAAGAGGCATATGCATCCGTCGTTTTATTCACACTCACCGCCGCACCCTGGATCCCTGCAACGTCATGTCTCTCCAGGACCAGCTGCGAATGTTACCCGTGGCCAAGCTTGAGCCCAGCGCAAGCCCTGCAGAGCGGTGCCCGTGCGGGATAAGGCTCGTTAGCGCAGGACTCTTAGATGGCCGCAGCACTGCCCGGATGCTGGCTTTATCCTCCACTTCAGGGAAGCATTTTCCTGTGAATTGGGGCTCAAAGCCCTCTCCACAACCAAAATTCGGCGGGAGCCCATCGCGTTAGAAAGGAAATAGGTATAATTCCGGGAGAAATCCCTTTTTGTGTCTTGAGAATACTTTGGGCCATTTTCCTTGTTCCCCCCCCACACACACACACACCCCACACACACAAACACACGCATATTTCGCTAGATTATGCCCCGCTTTATCCAATCGCTCTGCAACGGCTAAATGCGGCCGGCATGACTGTAATCTTAACCAAACTATGTTTCTGCTTGTTTTGTCTTGCGAACCTTCTCTGTGCGTGAACGTGGAATGTGTCCCGAAAATCGTCCAATGTGTTAGCTGCCCAATGAAGCCTGACAGTTACGCTCCTAATGCGAGGTAAATCGGGCCTTTCTCTGGCGTCGCGACCCACCGCATCCCAGTTCATGACACTGCATGCGTCACATCAGGCCGTAACGCTGTACGTGTCGCTCTCAGGTCCCAGAAGCGCGATCTGCGCGTCCTGGTGACAGACAACGTCCAGTGCATGCTGGGCAACAAGAGCCGCACGATCGGGGTGGAGATCATGCAGGACGCCCAGCACGCCTCCTTCCGCAAAGGCCCCACCAAGGAGGCCATCGTGTTGGTGTGGCCGCCGCACCTCAGTCCGCCCCCACCCTCCATCACCAACGGGCTGAAAACCAACGGCAACGGACGAATCCACTGAGGGGCCAGGGGAGGCACTGTCTGCCTGTGGTGCTCTGTAGAGGCGGGCTGCCTGGGTGACGTAATTTGCTTTGATAGGCGTTTAGGCGTGGGCTGCTGACGCGTCGGGGACCGGTTTACCCGACGCCGGTGGCCGCTGCGTCGCAGGCGGACCGTTGTGCGCTGGGGAACACGAGTTGCTCCAGTTACATTTGCGTTTTGACGCCTGCGTTACATGTCGCCGGGGCGGTGCGTGGCGTGAAAGGACGAGTTCATCCGTCCCCACGAGGGGTGTGTGGGTCTGAAGGCGCGTCCATTATTTGCTGAAGGGCGCGGTGGGATGAGAAAGAAACAAGGTACTTTCCAGCCGTCGCCGAGGGTTGGCGGGGCGTGCGGGCGGGGGGGGGGGGGGGGGGGGAGACCGCTGCTCACCTGTCAAGCGCGCCCTGTCGCCCGCCTGCTCCGCGCTGACGTCGATGTTGGCGAGGGTCCGGGGCGATCGTCTGGTGTTGCCCCAGGTGCTACGTGTTGTGAGGAGTCTGCTAACCGCCGGCCACCGGCGCGCGCACCCTCGGCGGCGCTAGCGCTGGTGCTGGCGACCAGACTGGAGGGCTTCGTGTCACGTGACGCAAACTGCCCGCAGCCAGGGCGCTGGTTCGGCCGCGCGGGGTCGTTGACCGCTTGCTGTACCGCTTTTATGTGATAGTCATTGGCTGGACGTGATAACCCGCTATAGCGCGTACGTGCAGGCATCCGATTGTGTTTGTCATTTTACGTTTACGTCCGCTAGGAAGGATTCGTTTGTCGTCGAATACGAGCACGCGTGAGGTTGCGAGAGAATCCTATACCGAGTAACGTATTGGTGCTGATTTGCTGGCTCTTGAGGAAGGCGACATCACGGAGCTATTAATGATGGTGTGGGTGTCGCGTTGATTGTGAATGTACGTTGTTGTTGACTGATTTGCCTTTAAAGTGCCTGATAAACGATCAACAGACGACTGCGCCTTTGAAGTATTACCGATGACGGTACGCAGGTCAACACGCTGGGTCAGTCTGAGGTGCAGCCAGAGACGCGCTGGGATGCAAATCTTCCCCATCCAGTACCAAGCTGTCTTGCGACGATTCGATCAAGATCAACTGCAGTTCACATCCTTGACGACAACTAGCAGCGGCATCCGCCCTTGGACGTTCACGACTTCACAGAGTCAACTCTGCGTGGTCTCTGTCATTGGCCCCAGAACTATGAAATACTTTATGATAACCCGGCCAAACCCGAACGCCAAGGAGTACCGCCCGGCGCCGTGCTCTGCAGAGGACAGCGTCAGTGACAGCCTCACTAACCATTGACATGCGACAGCTTGAGCACGCATACTTTTGATGTACCACCGCAATGTGTCCGGGTTTACGGAGCGCAAATACTGCGCAAGGCACAAAACATTGCTGCGAATGGGCGCTGATTCGGTAGATATCCGTCTGCCAGACTTGGAATATCTGGACACGATGGAGCATACAAGAACCTGTTGTGTGGCTCCCAATGGGTGTCAGGAAACGTTTGCACATGCGTTTGTGTTAAAATACGCAATATCTGTCATTGATGTCTGTCATCGCCCGGACTGCCTCACGCCTAACAAGGCGTCTTTATTGGTCTGTGCTCTCATGAACTGTATTGGCAAACTCTCTGTACTGGCAAACGTGGTGGTTGATGATTAACGCCGCCATTAGCGTTGTAACTAACTAAAATAATGTACACTGTATGCGTTCAGCCGTCGGGCCCTGGGCCTGTATCAGATCATGTTTGTGGGTGTCTGATGCATGTATTGCTGACGCCTATCGCTAATGCCGCCGGACACGTTACGGCCATGTTCCTGTGCCGACCTGCTGAGGACGCTTTGTTCGTCTCCCAGCATGATAGTGAAACAGGAATTGAATGGAAACATATCTTCAGCTTTGTCACATTTTAATACAGACGATTCATTGACTAATTTGTCCGCCTTCTGCCTTAAAAATGACGTTTCATTACCTAGCCTGTTTAACTCTGAGCACCTGCCCCCACCTATCACAGCAGGCTCATCTGTGCCCGCGTCCTGGCAGAAAAGATTGATTGCCAACGCGTCTGTCACGTGAGCTTTTCAGATGAGTATTGCTACCTGATCGCGTCTTTAAAGAGCTCATCTGTCATTCACAGCATATGTGAGGAACTGTATTTTAGTTCTGTCTGTCGGCCCGAGGACCACTTGCCTTCTTCCCGGCCGAGGATCCATTTTGACCGTCAGTCCGGTGAGGGTTTGAGACCAGTGTCCCATTCCGAAGGGGATGCCCGCTTCTCACTCCGATTAGAGAGCAGTTTTCACCATTCCTGACTAGCGACTTCCTCTGTGCCAAACTTGGACCAGAGAGTCCTGCCCCTTCCGGTCCGCGTGCAAGGTCTCAACTTCCGCTGCGCCCTGTTCCCCTCCCCCCCCCCCCCCATCCGCGGGCGGCTACTCTCGCACGTTGTCCAGGATCCAGTCGAGGATACTCGGTGACGCGTGTGTACACGCCGGGAATGTTCTCCGCGCCGCAGCGCACCGACCCGAACGACACGACGCCGATCTGTTGGAAGGGCAGGCCGTGCTCGGAGAGGGCCACCAACGGGCCGCCCGAGTCTCCCGAACACGAGTCACGGTCGCTCTGGCCGCCGGCGCAAAGCTGGGTCGGCCCGATGTTGGCGCGGCGCCGGAACAGCGGCGCGCACTCCTGCTGCGACAGCACCGGCAGCCGGACCTCCAGCAGCTTCGGACTGGTGTCGCCGCCTGGTGGCGCAGCGTGGAAACAGGCCGCCGTTAGAGAAGGAGCGGGGCGCAGCAGTCAGCAGATGAGCGTTGGCGATGGGAGCAAACGTGATGATACTAGCATGGCCATTCGGAGGGGTATGCCTGGATACGGCTGCTTCTCTTTCTGACCGCTTTTAAACACTCGCTCGTTTCTCAGTATACCCCTGTCCACGCTTATTTCCACGCTCATCTCTCTCTCTCTCTCTCTCTCTCTCTCTCTCTCTCCTCTCATCCTTCTCCTCTCTCGCTCATCCTCTCTCCTATCTCTCTCTCTCTCTCCGCTCTCTCTCTCTCGTTCTCTCTCTCTCTCTCTCTCTCTCTCTCTCTCTCTCTATCTCTCTCTCTTCTTCTCTCTCTCTCTCTCTCTATCTCTCTCTCTCGCTCTCTCTCTCGTTTTTCCGTCTATCTTTCTATAGTTCTTCTTTGTCTTTTTATGCATTCACTCATTTTTTCACCACATATTTTACTTAAGTATGCACACACCCGCTGGCGCGACATTCACGCGCAACCAGTGCAAACCATGCGCAGATTGAAAGGCACGTTTTAGCTGGACATGCAAATAGTGTGCCTCCGTTGATCGGACACGATTTCTTAATTCATATGCTACATTGATTTCCACTCACGGGATTCCGTCAGGCCGAAGCCCACCACGAACGGTTGCTGGCCGACGAACTGGCTCTCTCGCTCCTCAAATGGAAGGCACACAGTGTTGACGAAAGCTGTGGGAAGACAAGTTGTCTTGGTTAATGAAGACGCCGGGAGCGCCCCCACATCTGGCATACACTTCGTCCGTCTCCAGTATGTTTATTACGAGCGAGACTGCGGACCGAGCGCGTATAATTCAAACATCAGGGAGGAATGTGGTTGATGTGAACCATGCCGGTGCGGCTAAAACGCAGCGCCATTTCCAAGATTATGGTTTGGAAACTGCACACCACAAGAAGATGAGCCTTGGGCACGCCCTGTATGCTGCACGACCTCTAAATGTGCGGAGTTTATAGTCACAGGTTGGGTGACTGCCGGGCTTACGTAAGGCGTAGCCCAGAGACACATAACCTTTTATGGCAACTCCGTTTAACACGCGCCCGGGTGACCGGCTTAACACGCGCCCGGGTGGCCGGTTTAACACGCGCCAGGATGGCCGGTTGAACATAGCGCCGCTCGGGTGAGGGATCTAGGACAAATCAACCCCGAGATATCAAATTCACAGAAAAGATGCGTCTGGATGTCATTCACTTGTGTCAAATTTTGAATCTCCCGGGTCATGAATTTCGGGTCGAATAAGGTAAAACTAGGTCGACCTCCAGAGCTGTGTCCGAAGGTCCCTCAGACTGCAACATCCAACCACGTTTAACCTGGATGCATCTGTTAAGCAAAAGGTGGCTGGTATTCGTTTCAAGCCAGTGACCTTATTTGCCCCTTAGAAGTTACGGTAGCCGACAGAACGAGATTGTTTTGATTTGCGAATTTCAATAAGCGTTAAGGATTACACCAGGCGGTATGTTTAAACAAATTAAACGATTGATCGCAATTATTCTAGACCCGTGGCGTGTTTCAACCTTTATAAAGTTCAAATTTGTTGGCCTTCGCATGATTAAGAAAGCTGAAATGAGCGTCAAAAACCATCCCTCGAAGCAGGGTCTGTAGTAAAAAAAAATGCACACAAGTCGAAAACCCGTGTGCAATTGCAACGATGCTATAGTTGCATTGTCCCAAATAACAACACGCTGGCTTGCGGGCCTCTTAATGGATTGCATCCCGCCTGTTGCATTCCCGGGGAAACCATTGCCGCGGTGAGAACTTACACGACAATTTTGCGGGCCGCGCCAGCCGCAGGAGGGCTATGTCATTTCTGAACCGAATCGGCGAGTTGTAGGCTCGGTGCGGGATCACCTCCTCGATCTCCAGATCCTGAGGCGGATCGGAGCAGATCTCCTCACCGAGCACGTTCTGGAAACGTCACAGAGACTGAGCGTCGCCGTCCCAGCGCGGGTTGCCATGGCGACGAGCGAGGTGGCTGAAAACGAGGACTGATTGGTTAATAAGCGAAATCGGAAAACCTACAGCCGTTGGCGTGGAGGGGTGATGCCTTCCCCTATAACACGCACTGTGAGATGCTAGCCCACAGTAGCCGGTGCTAGATCTCACATTTACGACCTGTGTCCTTAAGGTCGCGCAACCCTTTAAGGAGCGCTAGCTACTGCAGTGACCAAGTAAGTACCCGAGGCCATATGCCCAGCCGGGAATCAAACCCGGGCTTACCACGTAGAATCCGAGCACGCCACGAGTGAGATACTTACTCGATAGTGAGATACCAACTCGCGCCGGGAGCATGCGCGTTCTGCAGCGCCTCTACTTGTGGCATGCCACCGCCACCAATCAGAAACATTGAAAAACCTTCGTTTCTTAGATGTCAATGAAACTGTGTGTCCCGTGATATTTGCTGTCTGGATCTAGTGTTGCAGTTAATAGCTTAATCAGAGCAACGGTGCGAACCTTTTCGTACCGTATGTGTCTGTGTAGGGAATGAACGGTTAAAATTTTAATTTGGTCTTTCATCCTTCATTTTA